ACATTTACTCATATGAAAACCATTTGGCTTTTAACCCAATCAGCTAAATTGTCTTAAAATCTCATTAACTTTATTCAAAATGGCTGATTTCTAAAGGTAGGCCTTAATTGTGTTTGCAAAATAATATATTTGTTCAGAGTAAAAGGACTAATAAATAGTAAAATAATCACCACAGTCTTTTATATCATAAAAATAAAACCTGCTAAAAATATCTACCCAATTCTGCCACTGTGATTCTGCACTCACAAATTAAGAAGTGAAAAACCCCCAAAAGGCAAACTGAACCAAAATAACTAAATACACACTACTCAACAGCAACAACAACAACAAAGCCAAATCGCTCTTTTGCATTAGCTACACTAATTTTCTCTTTCCAGTCAATTTCATGAGGCAGAAGATGCATCTGTGAGGCCCATATGCTTTGTTCCCAACATGAAGGAAGGCAATTTCCACTACTGCAAATATTAAAATAGATCCAGTAATTGTGGGTATTCTAAAAATAAACGGGAATTACTGTTCCAACATGATTTTATTTCAGCCAAAGTCTTCATTTAATACAGTACAAAACTAAAGCGACCTACTTCAATCTATTGAGAGTTTTCCAATTATTAAACCATAGGTAATGGAAGTAAATTATGAGCTCTATTTCTAATTTTTAAAAAACCAAAGGAAAAATCCATATATTTAACTACTAAGATCCCAACGCACATAAACCAGCATTCTGCCACTTAATTTGCTTAGGAATGAACAGTAACCTGTTAAATCTCCTCCAATAGCATCTGCTAAAGGCAGCGTTCCAATTCCCTCATAACCACTGATGCAAAACCAAGGTAAGAACTCTCTTATTAGAAAATTATCCTTGGGAAAGGATGCTCTTCAGTTTAAACCCATTTTTAAATGTAAGTAAGAGGAACAGCATCAAACAGGCTCCCTCCATAATGATCTGTAAACAGAACCAGTCCTGATTTTCATCCTTTACCCTAAAGAAAAAGCTGCTATGATCTTAAAAGTAGACTAAGAATGCATTTTTTGTCAAACGCATTATGCACAGTTTGTATGAGTCATTATAACAGGCATTCCCTATAATCAAGAGATTCTTTTAGAGATTTTAAGAAAAAAAATCACTAGGGAGGGAATTTCTCTGGACAGTTGCGTAATTTGTCATCTCTTTCTACAGCTGGTCATGAATGAAATTCTAGATTCTACTACGCAGAACAAATGAAGTAATTAATTGAAAACATTCAAAATGGAAAGGAGGAGGTGGAGGAGGTGGGGGCG